TTTTCGTCGCGCTGTGATGACGTCATGTACGCGCTTTCGTCGAGCACGCTTTTGTCTACCGCGGTTTTGTGGTGGAACCTCCTCGTGCAGTATAAACACTCAAGCACACAAGTGTTAAAACCAACAAGGTTTTACCACCACATGGTGGTGATTGGCAAAATTGTTTGGCCAGCTGGATCTCATGTGGGACAGAAAAGGCAGGTATACTTCAGTCACACCTGAAAAGTTATCAGTTTGCCATTTCTGCTTTGAAATGAATTCTAGGATTTGGTTGCTAGCATTAACGGTTCCTTCATTTTTCTTGAGTTAGGACTATCTCAAGTTGCTTAGTCTACCAACCATCCAATCTTTGCATATTGCCGAGCGGACACTGTGGTTGAGTAAAGAGTTGAACTCACAGCTCCTGGTCGACTACTACTGCCAGCACATCCCTATTTTGGGAGACCTTCTTGAGAACTTTCCAAATTCCTCCCATGTTGACTCTCAAGCCCAAGGAACAAAGCCCCTATCTTGGTGAGACCCAACCCCAAGTGTTGACATCCCAGCCAATGCAACCTTCTCAACACTATTCCTTGTTGCAATTTGATGTTCTCAACCATCTATCTAAGCATGCTTTTGCGGGAGATGGGGAAGACAAAGCAGCGGGATGCTTCAGCAATCGTAAAACAAACTTTCAAAAGTTTCAAGATAGCAAAGATTCCTTACCAGGATGTTTTGGTAGCCAAGTATGAGTCCTGTAAACCTGCATGTTAAAAATATATAACAGATAACGTGAATAGGATTCAGAGCAGCAAAGGTTTCCAAAGAAGAAAAAAAATTAAAAAGAAAATTAATAATAAACGCCACAGGTTTTCAAGACCATTACCTGAAATAAAATCCACAACAAGAGGTAGCAAAGTTGCACCAGCCAAGTTGCCATGATCCTTTGTCTCGTTGCAAACCAGAAAAATGACGCTGGGGTGAAATCTCAGATCACGGTGATGATAATATCATTAATAAGGAAACTTCCAGTTCTCCATCACCATCTGGTCATCTTCTTGTTTTTTCAAAGGGTGTTTTCTAATCATCCATACAAGACCATTCCGTCCGACATTCCGTTTGGGGGAAGGAGAGGGGGGAAAAAATCGAAACAAAACCCAACTCTTCCCTGAGGTCTAAGAATTAAAGAGTTTCAAAACGTGGCTGATAAATCCATTCCAGGAGAAGAAAAAAGGAAAAAGGAAAGAGGAATCATGAAGAGAGGAGGGGGAAAGGGGGAGAATAAACTTGGGATGATTACAGAGGCAAGTTTTCTCTTCTCCAACTTTCGCTAACGGCTTTGCCTTTTTAGATTTGTCTTCATTTGATCAGATGTCACTGGGGGGAAATGGAATTTGGCTTGCTTTCACACACACGCACACACAAAAAGAGAAAGAGAGAAGAAGGTGCCTCGGAGAGTAAAGAGTTTAAATATTTTTTTCTTCGGGGCCAAGAGGGGGAGGGATTGTGTGGTGTGAAGTTGTTCGTTAATGGGAAGACCTGGCTGTCTCAGGCATACACACCTCCAGCCCTCACTCTCCGGAGTGTGGAGCAAAATCAAAGTGATGTCAGACTTTCTCTTCAAACTTTGTCCCATTTGGGTATTCTATTTATATCACATTACCAACAAGTGGCTTCCTCTTCTGGGTCCTAGCACCAGTCAGTTAGAAAGAACGAGAGCCAGAAGATGTGAAGATAGCCAGGGAAGAAAAGAAAAAACAAAACAGAGGGATAGAATCAAGATCATGTGAAGGGTTAATACCACTTTACAAAGCCTTGGTAAGGCCACACTTGGAATACGGCATCCAGTTTTGGTCGCCAGAATGTAAAAAAAGATGTGGAGACTCTAGAAAGAGTGCAGAGAAGAGCAACAAAGATGATGAGGGGACTAGAGGCTAAAACATATGAAGAACGGTTGCAGGAACTGGGTATGTCTAGTTTAATGAAAAGAAGGATTAGGGGAGACCTGACAGCATTCTTCCAGTATCTCAGGGGCTGCCCCAAAGAAGAGGGAGTCAAGCTATTCTCCAAAGCATCTGAGGGTAGAACAAAAAGCAATGGGGAGAAACTAATCAAGGAGAGAAGCAACTTAGAACTGAGGAGATATTTTCTGACAGTCAGAACAATTAATCAGTGGAACAATTTGCCTCCAGAAGTTGTGAATGCCCCAACACTGGAAATCTTTAAGATGATGGATAACCATTTGTCTGAAGTGGTGTAGGGTTTCCTGCCTGGGCAGGGGTTGGACTAGAAGACCTCCAAGGTCCCTTCCAACACTGTTATTCTATCCTATCCTATCCTATCCTATCCTATCCTATCCTATCCTATCCTATCCTCCCTTTCACTGCACCCCATTCAATCCCATCACCAGCCACAGGTCTCCATTCAATGGAAATGTCATTTAGGGAAATAGGGGAATGAGGCCTTTAATTCCCATGTGGCTGGTGGAACTCCCTGCCACAAGATGCAATCAATGGGCTTTGATGTTTTAGCCAAGACAGGCAGCTGGGTGACTTTGGACCAATGCCCCCCCCCATTCACTCCAGCCTACCTCACAAGGTTGTTGTGGAAAGCAGGAAGAGGAAATCTCAAAAGTTGGAAACTAATCAAGGAGAGAAGCAACCTAGAACTAAGGAGAAATTTTCTGACGGTGAGAACAATTAACCAGTGGAAGAACTTGCCTCCAGAGGTTGTGAATGCTCCAACACTGGNCTTATTTTCTGGTTAGGTCTTATGTTTGGGGACATATGGTACTAAATGCATCCATCTGACTGACAATCTTAACTGGGGCTTATTTTGGGGTAGGGTTTATATTACGAGCATCCTGAAAAATCATGCTAGGATTTATTTTCCAGTTAGGTTTTACTTTGGGGGGGAAACAGGGCAATATCACAGGAAAAGCACGTCAAGATATATCCTTCTTACTAAAAGAAAATTACAGCTAGGTCTCTGAAGCTGAAGATTGACGTGGAAATAATAAGCATGTGTGAATCATTTGCTCGTGGAAAAATAAACACCATGGCCACAAAGCCATCAGCACCCATCACTTAAGCCATCTGAAATAGAAGGGATGGTTGCTAATAGATTCAGAATCTCCCATTTATGTTTCAATCACTGTTAAAGCCTTTTACAGTTTATGCTAACAAAAAAAATTATGTTCTGCAATTTTTCTCTTGCAGGAAACATGATAACATGAGTATCGTACGAGGAATCTTGTCTGGAAGCCAAGTTGAAAATGCCAATCTCTGCACACACAAAAAAGGCATGCCATTGAGAGAGACAGAACTGGAACTGGCTTTGTGAAGGTGCCAAACACAAACACACACAATGGATGAACATGGCGGGCAAATTGGACGATGGTTCAAGAATCGATGAGTGACAGGAGTGAACGGCATGAATGCTGGACGGAAAGACATGACAAGGATGAGAAGAAATACCAATGGATGGTGTCTCCCAAAGCTGTAGAGATGCACAATTTGGAAGGCAATATCACAACCAGGGATGGGTAATCTCTGGTAACAATGGACCAAATCTTCCTCATCTCTGGGGTCCACTTTTATTGTCAAAACACGGCATACAGTCCAATCTCAAGACTGCTCAGAAATAACTCAAGTGGCTTCCATGGTGCACCACAACAGTCTTGGAACCATCTAACCTCAAGAGACATCTAAAGGAAAATAGTTACATGGAATTCAACATATAGCTCTATATAACACATATTGGAATCTAAATGGTCCCCGCTGTTCTTCCCTCTCCATCAGCCAATTTGTGATGTGATATCTCAAAAAGGAAAGATAATGGCAAAATTAATACATTAATACACCAGACTGTGATGAGGCAATGATATTATCTCAATATAGTTGCCGTCTTACCCGCTTAACTGAGCCAGAGAAAATCTAATAGTCTAGATCAGGGCTGTCAAACCCATCTAGAAGGAGGAGGAGAAGGAGAAGGAGAAAATGAAGAGGAAGAGGAAAAGGAGAAGGAGGGGGAGGAAGAAGAGGGGGGACGAGGAGGAGGAGGAGGAAGAGGAGAAGAAGAAGANTGGATATCAATTCTAAGACCATTAGTGTTGGTGCAGTGGTTAGAAGGCAGCATTGCAGGCAAACTCTGCTGACTGCCAGGGGTTCAATTCTTAGCAGCTCAAGTTGACACAGCCTTCCCTCCTTCTAAGGTCGGTAAAATGAGGACCCAGATTGTTGGGGGCAAGAGGCTGACTCTGAAAACTGCTTAGAGAGGGCTGTAAAGCACTGTGAAGCAGTATATAAGTCTAAGTGTATTGCTATTGCTCTTCCTTTTATCTTTCCTTCCTTCCTTCCTTCCATGGTGTGCAGTGGTTAGAAGGCAGTACTGCAGACAAACTCTGCCCTCTGCCAGCAGTTCAATTCTGAACCAGCTCAAGGCTGACTCAGCCTCCCACCCTTCCAAGGTGGGTAAAATGAGGACCCAGATTGTTGGGGGCAAGAGGCTGACTCTGTTAACCCGCTTAGAGAGGGCTGTAAAGCAGTATATAAGTCTGCTATTGCTAGTGTTCTACCTTTTCCCCTTCCTTCCTTCCTTCCTCCCTCCCTCCCTCCCTCGGTGTGCAGTGGTTAGTGCAGTATTGCAGGCTAATTCCACTGACTGCCAGCAGTTCGATGCTGACCGGCTCAAGGTTGACTCAACCTTCCAACCTTCCGAGGTTGGTACAATGAGGACCCAGATGGTTGGGGGCAATACATTGACTTTATAAACTGCTTAGAGAGGACTGTAAAGCAGTATGAAGCGATATATGTCTAAGTGCTAAGTACTATTAGAAGATTTCAAGTGGAGAGAAACTCCTCCCCGTCCCCGTCCCCGTCGTCATCTCAGGAAGAACGCCATGGATTAACAAGCTGCTTTAACTTTGAAAGCAGATTTACTGGATGTTAGCCTGGATCTCGATAGAAACAAATAGATGCAGATCCTTAGAGATACCCCATGCCCAGAGCCAGCCATGTTCCTATCCAGCAAAGTTTATAACATGGCCCATAAACAAGATAAGATGGTCCTAAGGGGAAACGCCTTGATGATACATTAAGACAGATCCAAGGGGAAGAGATTACAACCCACAGAGGAAAACTGCTAAACCAAACCATTAGCTGCAAACTCTGGATGGACTCTTATCTAGGGAATTCCCGATTCTAGGGCCATTATTTTAAGCCAGTAGTTAGCTACGGTCGTAAACAAATATGCATAATTTATTCAGCAGGCTGCTTTACCATTTCCTAAGCAAATAATTTGGATGTAAACTCATATGAACCATTTGCATAAGCGCTAATGCCTGGAAGAGATTTTACGATTCCCTTAAAATGAGGCTCAGAGAAACATCCTCCTCCTCCTCCCCCCCTCCCTTTCCAGTCACACTGCTAGAATAAAATTAATGAAATAAACTTATATCAAAAACCACAGCGATAGGGACAATCTGCGACTCACCTTCAGGCTCACAAAATTCTTGGTTAATAATGCAAGAGTTTTGAGAGTTTCCGAAAAGGAGAAAGGTTTCCCCCTTGATGCTTGGGATATAGACACCTTTGTTTACAATCCCTTCCACCATATCTGAGGAAGGAAATGGGGAGGAAAAGACATTACAAGAGGCAGCTTTTAAGATTTTCCATTTCACCCCACCACCACAGAAGGATGACCAGAACAATTTTACTTCTCTTTTTTTCCCACCCAGCGCCAGGAATCCTGTCAAGAATGCTTTTTTCAAAAGGCAACTGGACTGCTTTTTTTCCGAGGAGGAGGAGGAGGAGAAAGAGAGGGAGGGGAGGGGGGAGGAGGAGAGGAGGAGGAGGGGGAAGAAGGAGGAGAAGAAGGAGGGGGAGATTGGATAGCCGCTTGTCTGAAATGGTATAGAGTCCTCTGCTTGAGCAGGGGGTTGGACTAGAAGACCTCTAATGTGCCTGAATTGAAGAAGACGTTTCGCTTCTCATCCAAGAAGCTCCCCCAGTTTTGACTGAAAGTGAAGAAGAACTGATGAAGCTTCTTGGATGAAAATCAAAACTTCTTCTTCCTCAAGGAAAAAGCAGTTCAGTTGCCTTTTGGAGGGGAAAAAGAAAAGCACCTTTGAGATAACTATGACCTGGATGACTGTGAATCTCCATAGACCCCAGGAATCCTTCTTCTTCTTCCAGCCATTCATGAGGAGCCATTCCCAAACTGAGAGGGCAGAGTTTCCCCCTAAATTTAGCAGAAAGATACGAGGAAACCCTCTCCCAAGGGTGGGTTCTGGCAGGCAATTTTTTAAGTGCAATTAAAATTGTTCTGCACCTGCACAGAACTGAAAAACAAGATGGCACTTCCAGTGACCCAGGCTGCCAAACTACTACAGCAGTGTTTCTCAACCTTGGCAACTTGAAGATGTCTGGACTTCAACTCCCAGAATTCCCCAGCCAGCATTCGCTGGCTGGGGAATTCTGAGAGTTGAAGTCCAGACATCTTCAAGTTGCCAAGGTTGAGAAACACTGTACTACAGGTTCGGGCGAAATGGTCCGAACCAGTAGGAGCCCAACAGTGGTTTCTTCCAAGAAACAGGCTGGCTGAAAGGAGAATGAAAGGTTTTGAGTCAATACAGGAATATTAGCAAAATCACAAAGTTGGATTTTCTTTTGAGGTTGACGTTCTTGAAGGAGCCATCCTGGCTTGGCTTGTGCATCACTTTAAAGCCTAAATCAGGAGCATAAACAAATAAAGGCCGTGTGTTTTATCATTTTACAGGATTTTGACAAGCCAGAACTAACAGCAGCTATGACAACGCTAGGTAACAGTAAAGGTCCCCCTCGCACAAATGTGCTAGTCGTTCCTGACTCTAGGGGGCAGTGTTCATCTCTGTTTCAAAGCCGAAGAGCCAGCGCTGACCGAAGACGTCTCTGTGGTCATGTGGCCAGCAAGACTAAATGGCAAAGGTACACAGAACGCTGTTATCTTCCCACCAAAGATGGTCTCTATTTTTCTACTTGCATTTTTATGTCCTTTTCAACTGCTAGGTTGGCAGAAGCTGGGACAAGTAACGAGAGCTTACTCCGTTACGTGGCGCTAGGGATTCAAGCTGCCGAACTACTGACCCTTCTGATCAACAAGCTCAGCGTCTTAGCCACGTGCCTCGTGACAGCACTACCAGACCATCAAACAGGTTGATGGACTCAAGAGAGCTTCTGTAAGTTTTCCCTTGGGTTGTTTAGTTTCTGTTCTCCAAGAACTGCCCCAAAGCTTCTTTCAGCTCTGTGTTAAAGAAAGAAAAGAAGCTTAACTTTCAACCCAATTGGATTTCAAGATCCAAAGCCTCTTCACAGTGGCGTAAAGAATGCCAAAGTCATTCCTAAAGCTTGACAAATAGAATAGGATTGTTTAGAATTCTCACCTACGGTTGCGGAGAAGTTAGAGTAGGCAGAATCATTGGTATAAACAAAAGTAGAATTATGGTAATGAAGCACAGTGAAGCTGTGGGATCTTAGCACTGCATGAGACAAGAAAGAAAACAAACAAACATGGAATGGAAAAGCAACATCACAAATACATGCAAGGTGGACATGAAATCAACCAGATCATGTCTCTCAATCAACATCATTGCAACGTGTTCCACCTTCCTGGGTTTAGAGCTAAAAAGGAGACAGCTCCAATGGAAAATTAAACTGTCCCATCTGAGAAACAACGGCTCATTTAAAAAAAAATAGAATCTCACACATGGACAAGGAGAGTGTAGGTTTAAGACAGGGGTGTCAAACTTTATTTCATTGAGGGCCACATCAGGGTTGTCTTTGACCTTGAAGGATCAGGCTGGGCATAGCCAGCATGATGTCACTTGTGTCAGGGGGTGCCTAGGGTAGCCTGAGCAGTCTGCCAGTGAAAACGGTCTCCTGAGCTCCGTTTTCAGCTGCAACGGCCTCCTGCAGCCCTCTGCCAGTGAAAACAGAGCTTGGGGAGTTGCTAGATGTTGCTGTTGAAGAAGATACTGATAACTATCCATTCTTCATCTCCAATGTAGACAATACTGGTCTAGAACCCGCTGGGAATTTGATTTGTCCTAAAACTTCTTAAGGTTTCTGCAATCCCCTCCCAATCTTAAGTAATACCATATTTTCTGGAAAATAAGACTGGATCCTATATTACTTTTTGCTCCAAAAGACGCATTAGGGCTTATTTTCTGGTTAGGTCTTATGTTTGGGGACATANTACCGGTTCTCCAGAAGCTGCTGGATTTCACCCCTGGTTGTGGCCTGCCAGCGGCCAGTGGAGCTGATGGCAGACTCAGACAGTGAGGAGGTTGGGGAGGAACCTGGGCCAGTCCTGGAGTCTGGGGAAGGCTCTGATGAGGGTTCTGTGTCAGAGGCAGAGAGGGGGCTATGGCCCTCCAACAGTTATCAGCTGCCTTTGGAGTCAGCCATCAGTGGGGCAGAAGAATAGCTGGAGCCTGTTCCCAGTGTGCACATGCACAATATCATTGAGGACTTTGAGTGTTCCCCATTCAAGGTTCAAGCAAGACAAGATATTCAACTGAAACTTCACTTGGAATGAAACTTACCAATAGCGGCTGTGAAATACTGCTTGATCTCATTGGCGGTGAGCACTTTTTCCCATACGATGAATTCGTCAAAGGTGCCAGGGACATGGCGTTTCCCTTCATGGCCTTGGGAGCCCATCAGCAAGTTGGAATTGGAGTACCCATAGTTGTAGAAATCTTCCCCGCGGGGATCAAAGTTGTTCAAAGTCCCGTTGATGTAGACCTTCAGGCCCTCCTTAGATTTCCAGGTAAAGAGCACATGAGTCCAATGAGGACCTGAAAAACAATGGATATTGAGGTGATGGGCAGCCCTGTCTCCACTCCTACCTTTAAGTAATAAGCGATCCTTGGCTCCATTGGCTGAGAAAGGTATTGTTCTGACCCAACTTCCCAAACACGACAAGCCCTATGACATGAACTCAAAAGAATCCTTTATTAGGAATGCCTGCAACCCCAGCAAAACGTACATCCACCACAAGATGAATAGTTGTCTACTACACCTATTCATCTCCAGGCCTTTTATCCCGAAAGCTAGGGTGGGTCCTCACTAGCAGCGGTGGCTCTTCTGTCCCAAGGAACGGCCCAAAGATTTCTACTGTTCTCCTCTCCTCTGCCTTCTGCGCATCCACACATCAAGCACTGGACCCAGATGTTCCGCCTCTTCCTCATCAGTCATCTCTAGACCTGGGGGCTGTTGACTCTCCATCTGAGGACTGACGGATGGCCCAGGCTCCGCCTCTGTCTCTCTCTTTCTCTGACAACTCCATTCCCTCTTCCCCATCGGAGCTCTTGGGTTGCCTTGATGCTGGCCCTGATTCCCATGCCTCCTCTTCCTCCTCCTCCTCTGATTCGGCTGCTGGAGGAGTCGGCGGCTGACAGGCCACAACAGGTTTAGTTTACTAAAGATCAAATAGATAACACTAAAGCAAAGCCAGAACTGAGGTTCGTGTGCACCGAAACTTTTGGTTTAACTTCCCCTTTCTCGGATGGACACACCCACCATCCAATCAGTTTCAAAGAAGATGTTTTTGAAATGGCCTCTCAGAATGCAAGTTGTCTTGCAACTCTCTCTCTCACCAGGGAAATGGTCTTGAGAGTCTTCCTCCAACCAGTATAGTCCCAATCAACACTTTCCCTTTCCTCAAAAGTCTTCCTGCTCTCTCTTTCCCGCTCCCCCCAGGGTTTATGGCAAACTGGCACCATGTTGTGGCCCACCAGCAGCCATCAGAGCTGGTGGCAGACTCAGATAGTGAGGAGGTTGCTGAGGAACATGGGCCAGTCCTGGAGGCTGAGAAAGGCTCTGATGAGGGCTCTGTGTTGTATGCCAGTTATCAGCTGCTTTCAGAGTAAGATATCAGTGGGGCAGAAGAACAGCTGGAGCCTGTTCCCGATGTGCGCATGTGCAGAGCTGCCAGAAAAAGGGAACAGCTAAGGAACAAGGGCCGACTCAGGAGTAAAGGCACATGTGGACAGTGAATGGTCCCTCCCACAGGGAATAAAGAGGAGTGAAAAGGGAGGGGAGTTTGCAGGAGACAATTAGTTCANAAGATGTCTGGACTTCAACTCCCAGAATTCCCCAGCCAGTGAATGCTGGCTGGGGAATTCTGGGAGTTGAAGTCCAGACAACTTCAAGTTGCTAAGGTTGAGAAACACTGTTCTAATGCCTACTTTCCCATGCTCCACTTCTGAGACCTACATAAGCTGCAACTAAAGTTCCATAAGGACTTCAGGCCTCCTTATACCAAAGCCTTTTTAGAAAATTCAGCCGTACAGCAAGGGGAGAATTAAGTTTCACTTTTTCTTCATTAATGCAAAAATGTTTCATTCCTTCTCTTTATGCATGGCTGTGCCCACAAGACATGACTGCCACATTTCCATAAAGCCAGTTTGTATCATCCCCCAGAAATACTCAAGCTCTTTTAAAAGCTTTGAAGCATCAAGAATAGAATTATGCTTTATATTTCTCACATCAAAATATTTTTAAGCCCCTAAATCCGTTGACACTGCTTGCTGATACATATTCATGTACCCCTTTCCCATTTCGCAATCTTCAGAAACGGTTTGAGATCTGTGGATTCCCTAACACTCTAAATAAAACCTAGAACTAAGGAGAAATTTCCTAGCAGTGAGAACGATTAATAGGTGGAGGTAAATTAATCAGCTTCCTTCAAAAATTGTTGGGGCTCCATCACTGGAGTTCCTCAAGAAGAAATTGGACAATCTTTTGTCTGAAATCGCATAGGGCAGTGACGGGGAACCTTTTCAGCACTGAGCGCCCAAACTGGAACATGTGCGCATGTGTGTGCACCGGAGTGCCAGAAACCTGAAGACCAGCTGCCCAGCATGTGCATGCCTGTTTTCTGGCCCTTTTGGCCATTTTGGGGCCATTTTCAGGCCGTTTTGGGGGGCATTTTAAGGCTGATTTTTCAGGCCAAAATCAACCCAAAGATGGTTTTAAAAGGGCCTGGAAAATGGCCTGGAAAACAGTCCAAAAATGTCCTGGGGTTTTTGCCCATTTTCAGGCCATTTTCCAGCACACCAGTGCCCACAAAGACCAGCTGGAGGCATTCGTGCCCGCAGCGAGGATTCTGCATGTCACCTGTGGCATGAGTGGCATAGGTTTGCCATCACAGGCATAGGGTCTTCTGCTTGGGCAGTGAGTTGGACTAGAAGACCTCCAAAGTAACAACTCTATTAAAACTGATTCTTAAGACCGTATCTTCAAGTTGTGATATGAAAGCCATGCATTAAATACGTGAATTCATTTCATTTGGAATCCACTTGGAGTATATGATGAATAAGTTGGATGCTGGGGCTGCCTCCCACTCCTCACATATGCCTGTGTCCAGAACACCATAAATTGTGTGAAAGAGATTCATTTATATATGAATCTTTTAGATATTTATATACGTCAGTTCTAAGTTGAAAAGAATTCACTCGCTGGAATTCTTGTATAATAGCAATAGCACTTAAGACTTATATACCACTTCACAGTGCTTCACATCCCTCTCTAAGCTGTTTACAGAGTCAGCATATTTGCCCTCAACAATATGGGTCCTCATTTTACCCACTTCGGAAGGATGGAAGGCTCAGTCAGCCTTGAGCCGGTTCAGAATCGAACTGTTGGCAGTGGGCAGAGTTTGCCTGCAGTACTGCCTTCTGACCACTGCACACCATGGATGGATGGATGGATGGATGGATGGATGGATGGATGGATGGATGGAAGGAAGGAAGGAAGGAAGGAAGGANCACCAAAAGTGGTTCTTATTTTTCTACTTGCATTTTTTACGTGCTTTCGAACGGCTAGGTTGGCAGAAACTGGGACAAGGAACGGGAGCTCACTCCGTGACGCGGTGCTAGGGATTCGAACTGCCGAACTGCCGACCTTTCCGATCGACAAGCTCAGCGTCTTAGCCACTGAGCCCACCTAGGAAGGGACAAGAACCCCACAAAACCTCCCTTTTTAAGTCTTCTTAAGTCTCCTTCCTCCTGCATCCAGTTTTGATCACCACAGTGTTAACAAGCATGTTGAGAAAAAGTGCAGAAAAGAGCAACAAAGATGATTAGGGGATTGGAGGCTAAAACATACAAAGAATGGTTGCAGGAACTGGGCATGGCTAGTGAAAAGAAGGACTAGGGGTGACATGTTAGCAATATTCCCATATCTGATGGGTTGCCCCAAAGAACTATCAAACTATTCTCCAAAGCATCAGAGGGCAGGACAAGAAGCAACGGATGGAAACTAACCAAGGGGAGAAGCAACCTGGAATTAAGGAGAAACTTCCTGACAAGGAGAACAATCAACCAGTGGAATAGCTACCCTCCAGAAGTTGCGGCTGCTGCATCACTGGAGGCTTTCAAGAAGAGATTGGCCAACGATTTATCTGAGGTGGCATAGCATTTCCTGCTCAAGCAGGAGGTTGTAATAGAAGACCTCCAAGGTCCCTTCCAACTGT